TGTACTTCCTGTAAATTGACATCTAAAGTGAGAGACAGGTTAAATCAGGAATTCGTTACCAGCCAATAATGGAGCAAGACGAATGCACAGCACCATCTACAAAATGATGATTCATAAAATGTGTAAATTTCGACAATCGCATTTGTTATTACTGGAACAAACTTGACCTGGTTCCCAAAGTTTCACAGTGGTATCCGCAGAAGCGCTCACAAGACGATTGTCAGACGAATGGAACGCAACTGACCAAACAATATTGCTATGCCCTTTCAGTTTCTCGCAAAGCACTTTCGAATCTGCAAACATTTTTTAAAGCAAAATAAAAAGAAAAGCCATGACCCCTTTTATTTCTCTGGGCATTTCAAGCTTCGCAACAGATGCAGGCAACCATAAGTGGCCCGTGTGAGAAGATTTTGCCATCAGTAATCAGCTGCCGGTAAGACAGACAACGGCTCTCTCATTCAAGAGCAGCCTACGAACAAACCGAAGGCGGTATAAGTCTTTCACATGCTACACATGTTAAACCCAAGGGAATCGATAAATTTTCTCATTGGTAGGTCTAATAAAAAGAACGATTCAGTACTGAAAGTAAGCAAAATTTATCACTGAATTATATCTCGAAAAAAAAAAAAAAAAATCACAGGGAGAAAAACATGAAAAAAAAATTTACCGTATGGCTCATAGATGTCAGTATTAACGGACGGGACGGACCAACAACACACAACACCATCAAAGCCTCCTGTATAACACATATCACCGGTCGGAGACATATCCATTGAAACAATCGGTCCACTGAAAAGCTGCATGAGCAGGAAATGAGACAAAAAAAAGTACAACATAGCGTTTTAAGATAAAATTGCATACCTGTGTCCACGAAATGTATAAGTGGGTTCCAGTTCGGTAACTGCCGTACAGTGTGATGAGATCTGCCCTAAAATGTGAAAATTTCCCATTAAAGCATCGATAAAAACGCATTTCTGCAGTATAAGAGTGGACCGCGTGATTTATACGCGATTATCCGCATTTTTCCTGAACCTTTATCTCGTGAATCATTAAATCGTCCCACACTTCACAAAGGCCGTCTTTTTCTGGGTGGGGAGGGAAGGG